TCATGAGATCCGCCGCCGTGCCTCTGGCGCGGGGTGGAATGCCCCGAGGCCCACAGCTGCGCTGCTGCTGCAGCCAGGATTGTTGTTTCTCAAGGGCCCGGGCCACCAATTTCCCGGGCGCTTCCGGGCGCTATTTGGCGCGCCCGGGGCATTCCGCACGGGCCTGCGGGCGGCCCCGATGCCCCGCGCGATCCGGGGAATTTCGCGAAGCAGTCCCCCGAGCGCCCGAGACGTCAAGGAATGCCTCTACGCGGCCCAAGAAGGCCCGTGGACGGCCCGCAACGGCTTCGAAACGGCCCCAAGACGCGCCCAACGGGCCCCAGGAAGGCCTCGAGAGGCCCCCGAGAAGCGCCATCGATGTCCTTTCGGTTTTGAACATATTGTACCTTTCTCTCCCTATCGAGCATCGAACGCACTCGGGCGGTTCAAGGGGTCCGCGAGACCGCTCCAGAACTGCCGCAGAGGCTCCCGAGATGGCCCCCCAACGGCATGGGACGGCTTAAAGGCGGGCTGGGAAGCCCACGAGAGGGTCCCCAAACGACCCAAGAGGGCCCCGAGACGGCCCAGGAGGCGCCCAAGCGGGCCCCATGACGGCCCCAAGATTGGCCCGACAAGACAAGGGGGCACGAACCAAAAAAAATTATCCCGGCAAAGCAACCTAACAGCGATGTGTAGAAGCATATCTGAAAGCATTCCCCTTAAGATTCAGATGAAAATCCAGTTGTCGAATTCTGCTGTTCTCGCAGTCGTAGTCGCATTCGCGATGACAGTCGCAGCGGCAACGGCAGTCGCAGTCACAGCCTCAGCCTCAGCCTGCCTCCTCCTCCTCCTCCTCCTTTTCTCCTGCTCCTCCTCCTCCTCCTCCTCCTCCTCCTCCTCCTGGTCGTCCTCGTTCTCGTCCTCCTCGTCTTGCTCGTCCTCCTCCTCCTGGTGCTCTCTCCTCCTCCTCCTCCTCCTCCTCCTCCTCCTCCTCCTCCTGGTGGTCCTCGTTCTCCTCCTCCTGGTGCTCTCCCCCCCCCTCCTCCTCCTCGTCCTCCTCCTCCTCCTCCTCCTCGTCCTCCTCCTCCTCTTCCTCCTCCTCCTCCTCCTCCTCCTCCTCCTCCTCCTCCTGGTAGTCCTCCCCCTCCCCTCCTCCTCCTCCTCCTCCTCTTCCTGGTCGTCCTCGTTCTCGTCCTCCTCGTCTTGCTCGTCCTCCTCCTCCTGGTGTTCTCTCCTCCTCCTCCTCCTCCTCCTCCTCCTCCTCCTCCTCCTCCTGGTGGTCCTCGTTCTCCTCCTCCTGGTACTCTCCCCCCCCCTCCTCCTCCTCCTCCTCGTCCTCGTCCTCCTCCTCCTCCTCCTCCTCCTCCTCCTCCTCCTCCTCCTCCTCCTCCTCCTCCTCCTCCTGGTACTCCTCCCCCTCCCCTCCTCCTCCTCCTCCTCCTCTTCCTGGTCGTCCTCCTCCTCCTGGTCGTCCTCCTCCTCCTGCTCGTCCTCCTCCTCCTCCTGCTCGTCCTTCTTCTCCTGCTCCTCCTGCTCCTCGTCCTGCTCCTGCTCGTCCTCGTCCTCCTGGTCTTGCTCGTCCTCCTCCTCGTCGTGCTCTTGCCCCTGCTGAAAATGTGGCCCAGGAATGGGAGTTCTGGGAAGTCGAAGAGCACGAAGTTGCCTACAGTTGGCTACGGGCATTCAAAATGTGGCCCGGGAATGGAGTTCTGGGAACTCGAAGAGCACGAAGTGGCCTACAGTTGGCTCCGGGCATTCAAAATGTGGCCCGGGAATGGAGTTCTGGGAACTCGAAGAGCACGAAGTGGCCTACAGTTGGCTCCGGGCATTCAAAATGTGGCCCGGGAATGGAGTTCTGGGAAATCGAAGAGCACGAAGTGGCCTACAGTTGGCTCCGGGCATCCAAAATGTGGCCCGGGAATGGAGTTCTGGGAACTCGAAGAGCACGAAGTGTGTGACTGTTGCATCCGGTTATTCAGAATGTGGCCCGGGAATGGCGTTCTGGGATCTCGAAGAGCACGAAGTGTGTGACTGTTGCATCCGGGTATTGAGAATGTGGCCTGGGAATGGAGTTCTGGGAAGTCGAAGAGCACGAAGTGTGTGACTGTTGGTGAAAAACGAGCCCGGCACCCTGCCGCCCGGCAACTCCCCAACACCTGCCCGGACCCCCCTGTGGAGTGATCTGTGAGCTCTTTTGAGTCAACTAGAAACCTATCAGTCTTCGCTGTTAGGTAAATAGCTCTCCGCCCCAAGAGGCCCCCAAGAGGCCCCAAGAGGCCCCTGGGAATCCCCGCAGGCTCCCCACTTGGCCCAAAAGAAACCCCAGAAACCCCATAACGGCCCGCAAGAGGCTTCCGACTTGCCTCCAAGATCAAATTTAAAGACGTCTCTCTCCTCTTCTGCTGTTTTGCCTCCTCGGTTCTTCAAGTCCTGTTGCGCTCTTTCGCTGCTTGCTCCCGCCGCCATTCGGGCGCGGGGCACTAGGGTCGCGCTCGCCCCGCAGGAAAGAAACGGGCCGCCCCGCTAGCCATGCTAGTCCTGCCCGGCGCACTCCGCCGCGCCATGGCAATTGTGCGATTCCTCTCGAAGTTGGAAAGATCGTTTACTCAACACAACTAAATGGCCACAGCCCTTGCCACATGTGCTGCCTGGAGCGTTGCCTTATGGATTTCGCATATACAATGAGTTACAGAAGATGGTGTTATTTTCAAGCGGCGTTCAAACGAGCTCGGCAACATGATCGGACAACAGGTCGTGGTAACAATGACGATTCGTACCATCGATCTTGGCAGCGACGCACGCTAAAGGCATAGCTGAATCAGAATGGAGGTGAGGAGGCCCTCTTTGGAAGGGCAGAGGCGAGGTTGAGGATGTCAGGGGGAGGTAAATAGGAAAAGGAGGAGGAGGAGGACAAGGAGGAGGAGGAGGAGAAGGAAGAAAACGAGGAGGAGGAGGGGGGGCCATGGGGGACTCAGGTAGGAGCTAAATTGTTACAAACCTTAGCCTGACGATGAGCAGCAGCAGCAGGCCTTCGACGGTCAATGGCTATGATTCCCACTGTCGCGCACTGGCCTGCTGCAGCACACCTGCAGCTGCCGCCAGCTCTCTCGCCAGCGAAAAATTATCCCGGCAAAGCAACCTAACAGCGATGTGTAGAAGCATATCTGAAAGCATTCCCCTTAAGATTCAGATGAAAATCCAGTTGTCGAATTCTGCTGTTCTCGCAGTCGTAGTCGCATTCGCGATGACAGTCGCAGCGGCAACGGCAGTCGCAGTCACAGCCTCAGCCTCAGCCTGCCTCCTCCTCCTCCTCTTTCCTCTCTCTCCTCCTCCTCCTCCTCCTCCTCTTCCTCCTGCTCGTCCTCGTTCTCGTCCTCTCCTCGTCCTCCTCCTCGGTGGTCCTCGTTCTCCTCCGTGCTCTCCCCCCCCCTCCTCCTCCTCGTCCTCCTCCTCCTCCTCCTCCTCCTCCTCCTCCTCCTCCTCCTCCTCCTCCTCCTCCTCCTGGTAGTCTCCTCCCTCCTCCCCTCCTCTTCCTGGTCGTCCTCGTTCTCGTCCTCCTCGTCTTGCTCGTCCTCCTCCTCCTGGTGTTCTCTCCTCCTCCTCCTCCTCCTCCTCCTCCTCCTCCTCCTCCTCCTCCTCCTCCTCCTCCTCCTCCTCCTCCTCCTGGTCCTCCTCCTCCTCCTCCTCCTCCTCCTCGTCCTCGTCCTCGTCCTCCTCCTCCTCCTCGTCCTCCTCCCTCCTCCTCCTCCTCCTCCTCTCCTCCTCCTCCTCCTCCTCCTCCTCCTCCTCCTCCTCCTCCCTCCTGGTCCTCCTCCTCCCCTCCTCCTCCTCCTCCTCTTCCTGGTCGTCCTCCTCCTCCTGGTCGTCCTCCTCCTCCTGCTCGTCCTCCTCCTCCTCCTGCTCGTCCTTCTTCTCCTGCTCCTCCTGCTCCTCGTCCTGCTCCTGCTCGTCCTCGTCCTCCTGGTCTTGCTCGTCCTCCTCCTCGTCGTGCTCTTGCCCCTGCTGAAAATGTGGCCCAGGAGTGGGAGTTCTGGGAAGTCGAAGAGCACGAAGTTGCCTACAGTTGGGCTACGGGCATTCAAAATGTGGCCCGGGAATGGAGTTCTGGGAACTCGAAGAGCACGAAGTGGCCTACAGTGGCTCCGGGCATTCAAAATGTGGCCCGGGAATGGAGTTCTGGGAAGTCGAAGACCACGAAGTGGCCTACAGTTGGCTCCGGGCATCCAAAATGTGGCCCGGGAATGGAGTTCTGGGAAATAGAAGAGCACGAAGTGTGTGACTGTTGCATCCGGTTATTCTAAATGTGGCCCGGGAATGGCGTTCTGGGATGTCGAAGAGCACGAAGTGTGTGACTGTTGCATCCGGTTATTCTAAATGTGGCCCGGGAATGGCGTTCTGGGATCTCGAAGAGCACGAAGTGTGTGACTGTTGCATCCGGGTATTCAGAATGTGGCCTGGGAATGGAGTTCTGGGAAGTCGAAGAGCACGAAGTGTGTGACTGTTGGTGAAAAACGAGCCCGGCACCCTGCCGCCCGGCAACTCCCCAACACCTGCCCGGACCCCCCTGTGGAGTGATCTGTGAGCTCTTTTGAGTCAACTAGAAACCTATCAGTCTTCGCTGTTAGGTAAAAAGGCACCGCCCTCGACACAGAAGGGGGTGAGCCAGGATGACATGTTCACATATCGCTTTGGGGTGGATGATCCGAGATCTCAGGACGGCCTCAGAGAAGAGGGGGAGGAGGAGGAGGAGGAGGAGGAGGAGGAGGGAAGGTCGGTATTGATCGGGAGGAGGAGGAAAGCTGCTAGGCGAGGGCCTTCCTACGCCTACGCATCTTCTGCGATGCAAGCCTTTCGGAAGTACTGAGCCTATCTTCTGAAATCTCTGAACTGGGACGTTTCTCAAGAGAAACTCTGAGAAACCGATCCCACGGAACACATCACATAAAACATCGTTCATTTTGATGTTTGTTGGCTCCTTTACTCCACCTCGGTCTTGCACTTCTTCAGCGGGGGCTGCAGGGCTAAAGAGGGAGCTGCTGCTGCTGCTGCTGCTGCTGGCGCCTTTCCAGAGCCGCCTCCTCCTTGAAAGTCTGCTCTGGAGGCGGCTCGGCGCCAAGCGCGTCCAGCAGCTTCTTGGGCATCAGAGTCTTCTGAACTCCGAGGCGCTCGAAAACGAAGCGCTGCGTGGCGTCTCTAGCAACGCCTGTGAGGGCCGAGTTCGCCAGCACGATGGCGCCCATGAGGATGGCGCCATCCTTGGCCGTCTGCTTGATGGACCCCATCCTCTCGATGAGATCGCCCAGCTTCTTGACCTGATCGGCCTGCAACCAGACGAGGCTCGCGAAGGAACCTTTGAGCTCGGTGACGATGCGCTCGGCATTGGGCAAGTTCTGCACGAGCGAAGCCACGCCCTTGATCTCGGCCTCCCTCGTCGGATCCTTCTGGGCCGAGCTCAGCCACACTCTCTTGGAACCCTCACCGTCGGAATCGAAACTCCAAGCCGTGAGCGGGGACCAGATGTTCTCTCCGCCCTCACCGTACTTCTGCAGGAACGCCTCCAGGAGGCCCGTGCCAAGATCCGTGACGAGCTGATCGAACGTGTACGACCACTCCGTGATCAAGAGCTCCTTCCACTCCGCCAGCTCGTTTTTCGAAGAGATCGGCTCCACCATCAGCGAGTAGGATTTCAAGGCATTGGTCAGCTGGATGGTACCGACGACCTTGCCAGACGTCTTTGCCTCCATGACCCTCTTGACCAAGAAATAGGACTGCATGGCTTGGGCGATGGGCTGAACGCCTGGAGGCAAGCAACCAGCCCGCTCGGTAGACGTTTTCAGGACCTTCGGCGTCACCGAGCAGCAGCCGTCCGACGATGCCAACTGGGTGGTCATACCCATGATTGGAGTGCTGATGGGGCTGGTAGCCACGAACTCGTTGAACGTCTCGAAGGCGGATGACAAACTGCTGGCCTCGTCGGCTAGCCTCGGCGCACACGTAACGGCACCCTCCTGCACCCAGAGGTCGCTCCACAAGCAGATCACGTTCTCCAGGGCCACCCCAGGCATTCGCATCTTCACGGCGTTCGCGCTGACGAGTAGATCGGCCCGACGTTTCGCCTCCTGGATCGTCGCCCTCTCCTGAACCCCGATCTCGAAGGTAAGGATGGTTCTTGCCGCGGCAGAGAGGAACTTGAAGCAGTCTGCATCCGATGTCATCTTGCTTGTGTCCCCCACGCCACAGTGGATGCCATAGATGGTCTCGAGATTGTCCGCGAAGTTGTCGTAGTAGTTCAAGATGTCCTCGAGCCCCCTGCCAATCGCTTGCAAGAAACCGTCCTTCAGGGAAATGAGCTCGGTCCTCGTGGTGCTCTCGGCCTCGGTGTCGTCCAAGCTATCCATGTACTTTGAGAAACAATCGAAATGTTGAGAATGCGATTCACTCGTGACGCCCACCATCAGGACCTCGAAGAGCTTCTCGATGTAGGATACGTTCTCCCCGCAGAGAAGATCATTGATGCTGTCGCGAAGCTCAACGATGCTCTTCTTGACGTCTGAGTCGAGCTCCGACCCCTCCGATGTACCTGCGATCTCCTGGAATGGCGTTCTCTCCCACGCTGCGCGAGCCCAGTTGGTAGTGCCAGCCCCTACCCTGATCATGCACCGAACTCTGTTGCTCAGCTTCTCCTTGTTTGCGTGCACCTTGAAGGCCTCGACCCTCAAGTCCCGAGGCATCTTCTCGCTGGCATCTACGGACAGCACCTTGCCAAAGAATCGCATTGCATTCAAGTCAGCCAGGAGTTGAGGTACCCATCCAGTAGCAGGGTCGATGCTCGAGCTGTCGACGTTCAGGTCGTTGATGCTGCACTCGCCGATGATGTGGTCGCACTCCGCCATGAGTGCCGTAAACTCAGTCATGGATACTCGCTTGAGGACCTTGTCTGCGAAAGTTAGGACCAAGTTGTGCTGGCACTGTGCAAGGAAGTCGCCATCGCGCGTGATGTCGCCAAACGTCGCCACCGACATGTGCTCGCTGCCACTGCTGTACTTCATCGCCCTCAATGTCATCACGTGGGACTTCGGGCTTGACTGCGACAAGAGAGAGCAGCATACTGCGAAGGCCATGTTGGACTTGAGGGGATCGTCAGCTTGGACGGTGATGTTCCGAAGATCTTTGCTGACTGCGTCAACGACGGTATCTGGCGATGCTTTGGGAGTGTCTAATGTATTCTTCGTCTCCTGCAACCAAACTCCAGTCCGATATAACTGCTCCGAAACCTCTGCCGAGTCGTCATGCATCAACGCCGATACCTTGCTCGCCTTGGCGCTCAACCTGAGGAGGCAAAAAGAGGATGAGGCGGCAACAATCAATGCAAGGAGGAGCAACCGTCGCATTGTTCCCGCTCCTGGACCAAACGCCTCCAGGAGCGGGAGCAATGCGACGATTGCTCCGGCAGGAAGACGACGAGGTTCTGGAGATGGCGAGGTGGAGAGGGGGAGAGAGGGGGGGAGGAGCAGAGGGAGGAGGAGGAGGAGGAGGGGGAGGAGGAGGAGGAGGAGGATGAGGAGGAGGAGGAGGAGGAGCAGCAGCAGCAGCAGGAGGAGGAAGAGGATGCAGCCTCGTGAGGAGATTCTCGTAGTCGCGCTGCCAGTACTTCTTGTTCCACAGCACGCTGACCGACCAGTTGGCCTCCGTCTCTTCGAGGATCTGCTTGCCAGACTACAGCAAGTTCGTGTCGCCGCCCCCCTTCTGCGCCTTCCTCGTGCTCTGAACCTGGCCCTCGAGCTTCCTTGGCGCCGTCGCCGTCGGCATCGGCGTAGCGCAGCTCCTCGGAGAGACGGGCGGCTCGCTTTCGGCGTGGCCGAAGCTGCCAAGCCCGCTCCCGCGCGACGTCCCACTCGCGACGGAAATGGCATCGTCGGGAGGGCAAGCCTGAGCGAGGGCAGGCGCCGAGCAGCTCGAAGCTGAGGCCGAGAAAGAGTCTGGCGGTACTCTCGTCGACGGGAGATCCATGCCAGTGGCGCCGTCCTCCACGGCGGCCCCGTCGGCACCCGTGACCTCGTGGAAACCCTCCTTGTTCATCAAGTTCCAGTCGTTCGCCAGGCCCTGCTCAGCGGCGGTGCCCAAGTCGTCGTGATCCTCCCTCCGCACGATGGCCGAAGTCTTGGAGACGCCATCGCGGTGCCTGCAGGACGTACCAGGCTTCTTGTCAGGCACAAAGACGCCGAACTCGCCAGTCTTGTCAACGCCAGTCTCGAAGCCAAGCGTCACGTTGATGTACTTGATGGGGCTCTCGCGCGAGTCGCACTGAATGGAAGGGACACGGGCGAACGCGAAGAGCTCCGTGAAGTCGCCCTCGACGAAGGCGTCCTCGAAAGACCTCGGCCCCTCAACTGTGGAATGTTTGACGTTCGCTGCTTCGGTCAGCTGGCACTCGTCCTTGCCAGATGCATGACCTTCACGCAACCTCGCGTGTCTGTCTTGCTCCTCCTTATCCGCTGCCTTCTTTGCGATGACGTCCTTAGCGGTCGTACCTTTCGGGTAGTACTTCTTGCGGACGTACAAGCAGTTCCCGCACTCGGTCCCCATTGGCGTCTCCACGCCAGTGGCGCTGCAGATTTCACTCTTCGGCCACCACAAGTAAGTACCAGGCGTGTGGCGGTCGAGCGCGTGCGTGTCCTGATGGCACGTATCGCGCGTCCTCACACGAGCTTGCAAGTTCGGGTGGTCTGATCCATCCGTCTGCGCCTTGCTCGACTGCTGCGGCTGCTTCTGCTTCCCGATCAGCCGCGCTGGCTGCTTCGCCTTGGCCGCTGGGGCCTTGGCCTTACCGTGCTTGCCCATCAACTGCCGAATGAAGGTGCCTCAAGCGGGAATGCGAGCCCTCCGAACGCCGAACGCTGGAGGCTCCAACGAACCAAGCGTCTTGGCCGTCGCTGTGACGGCTGGCGAACGCCAAAACTGCTCGCGCCTCAAAGGCTCTCTGGGAGGTGGAAGCGGGGGTCGGAAGGAAGGAGGGGTTGAGCGGAAGAAGTTGACACAGGACCCCCAAAGCTCCCAAACCTCGAAGCACCCAGAGCCCCAAGACCCCCAAAGTCCAAACGTCCGAACAGCTTGAACCCCCAAAGCCCTGACACGCTGAAGAGCCCCAAAGCCCTAAGTACCCCCAAGAACCCCAAAGCCCCAGGACCACCTAGAGCCCTGAGAGCCTTACCCAAGATCCCTCCCGAAGAGTGCTAGGTTGCCCTACGCCCTACCAAGATTCGTATCATGCTATGCCGATTGTCTACGGCACTACGGGACGCACTGCAATGGAATGCAATTGATGGCATACACCCAACGTTGCGCACCGTAGTGGGCATGGAGTGTTGTGGCGACGTTTGCGGGTGCGTTTACTTACTTGTTTGCTGGAGTGCGTGTTGAAGTTGGATCTTGGATGTGAGTTGCTTGCAACCTAGCTTGGATACTAAATGCTTGGGCCTTGAAGCCCGTGTGGGTGTATGCTTGTTTTATCGCAACCTGTATGTGAAAACACGGCGGTCGATTTGCTATTTGCAATGCCGTTGCGGGTGACGGGGATGCCAGGGCACGAGAGCCATCGCAGTGCATCCACCTACGCAAGAGACCAGGATGCACGAGTACAACGGACTACGCAGGATTCCAAGATGCACGCCAGCATGCAATTGCCCATGGCTCAAGGGTGTAGGGATGCAAGACCAATGGCGCTCCTCATTGTTACCAATCCCAGGCTGCGTACGCAGGCGGTGCGAGTGTAAGAACTCGCAGAAAGCCGAATCTGAGCAGGAAGAGTATATAACTCAAACTAAGGGCTAAGAGACATAATCAAATCGCACGCAAGCAACTTTGGAATGTCAGCCACCCCAGCACGTCTGAGAGGTGATAAGATCAAGCATGGAAGGTGAAACATCGAAACATACCAAGCCGTCAGAGACATCGAAGCGTAGATCAATCACATTGAAATACACAGCTCTACCAACCATTCAGTTAGGCATGATTTGGGAATCCATGCCTGCCATGGCATTTGAGATGGCATCCCCCCTGGCACCATCAGCACCACCAGCGACATCAGGTGGCAAGAAAGATGGGTGCGCCCCCCAACCACGCAGCCGGACGTACACCCTCGGGACCATCACCACGACGATTGTCTAAAGAACGCACCCCAGCCCCAGTGAACGCCAAGGTGAGGTCCAGCCCCATGTTGCCCAGAGCGGGCGCTGACTGCTGCGAAGGCGTCTTCAAAGGGTCGCGTTAGCGCCCTTGAGCGATCCCCCGTGGCGGCCCTGGCGCAGCCGCGGACGCCGAGTCAGAAATGGGATGCTCGAACTTGATCAAGCATCAAGTTCTTGGCCGTCAGCTGGGCGAGTCGGGCAAGGGCCAGGGATATATTTTTTTCGAACGCTCCTCGACCTTGCATGGGATTTTAAGGGTGAGATATGCGTATTTGGTGTATCCTGGCGGTAATTTATCCAGGTTGATGCGGATGATGGGGCCCTTGTATCCGAATCGTTCCGTCATCATTTTCAATCAACCCCGATGCCGCAGCCATTGTGCAGCAAGAACAACAAGAAATGTAAGTAAGGAACGAGAAACCACTGGTAGCGGACGCGGCTGAATTGTTCGAGACACAAACAGCCCTCCGGCAACAAATAAAAAATTGGATCCGCAGGCACGAGGGGCAGCGCCCCCCCCTCTTCCTCCAGAAAAGAAGCCACAAAGCCCGAACAACTAAAGAACCCAAGCCCAAACCGCCCTAGACCCTCCAAAGCCAGAAAGCCCACAGAACCCAAACTGCTTCGAACGACCAAGAACCAAAATCCTAAAAACAACCAAGAAGTTCTAGACCCACGCAAGCTACTTCCTGTCTTCCAAGAGCACCCACGAAGCCACTTGGGCCAGCGACGCCTCAACAAATCTAGAGAAAAACGCTGCAAAGGCAAATGGTCCGACACTCACGTGCGTTATTCGCTTGTAGCATGCGTTTGCATTTGCCGTGCACGTGGTGCAGTGTACATTGGAATGCATGCGGTTGCATAGTGGTGGTGTATACATGATTGTGTTTGAAGTATTGTGGGTGGTTCCGGAACGCTGGCACGCGGACGGCGCGCGGACTCAACATTAGAACCCTCCCATCGGACGCCGTTTAACAGTTCGAAGTAACCCCGCGCAAATACGCCAACACCGACGCCACGCGTAGACGACGCACGCATTCCCATCGCGTACGCGCGCGCCCGCCGTGCATTGATCCACCACCTGGCACGCGATGGACCCGTGGCAATATCCAGTTGCCCCGCCCAGCTATTCCAACCCGAAACGCTAGGGCCTATGTTAGGTTTATCCTACCTGCGTCTTTATCGCTCACATGTTCGCGCTGGCCGTAGGCGCAGCATTGCGCGTCGCGCGCATTGGCCAGCGTGCTCACGCGCGGCGAACTCATTCTGAAGTCGCGGCCCACTTTGGCCAGCACCGAGTTAATCTTCAACAACGTGCCGTCATCGACGTCGTAACAGTAGATCGACCAGAAATATCCACGCGCACGTGCGCGCCCAGGCGCATTGCGCCGATCAATGCCGTTGACGACTTGCGAATTGCGAATCCATGTGACCATCCCATCGGCCAACGTATCGGGTCGACTTGGGACCGTAGACCAACGCGCATGTTCTTCCATTCCCAAAGAACCGTTGCGCACTCGAGTGGAACGCTACCCCAGCCGAATATGATGGGCCATTGTTCCCACCGAAGGCCGTCGGCCGCCGCAATGGCCTCTTGATGTCAAATCAAGTCAACATGCCCGCGAACTAAATTCCCCCGCAGCAACCGCGCGTTTGCTGGTCGCGCGGCGAAGCCCAATGCCCCCGCGTCGCCCACGCGGTCGCCACTGCACCAACGACAAGATGTGTCGAGGACGAGCTTCTGCGCATAAGCCATTGCCACGCTGGCGTTTAGCGCGCATTGGTTCAAAACCTTCGGCATCCCGTCGCATCCACAGCGCCGTTTCGAGGCCGCCGCCAGTGGGCGCGACCAGCCGCGCTAATGGATGCGCTGTCGCCGACGCGACGCGCATTGGGATAGCAACTAGATCTAGTCGTGCGCGCAGCAAAAACAACGCAGCAATCGCGCGCGGCAAGCGCGCGTGCGCGATGCACTTGAACGTGCGCTCGATGCGTCATGCGCATCGTTTGCAGCGCGCGCAAAGCGTATGCTCCCTGCGCATCAATCATGCATCCATTTGCTGAACGCAACAGGCCATGTAAACCGCGTGACGTGCACGCGCCACACAGGCAATTCAGGATCACAAAACTCGAGCGTCCAGGCGCGATTCAGGCGTGAGTCCGGCCGGTTCAGGCCGATTCAAGCTTATTCAGGTCTGATTCAGGTCGACTCAGGTTAAGTCAGGTCGATTCAGGTTTGATTCAGGTCGATTCAGGCCTATTCAGGTCTGATTCAGGTCTTGTTCAGGTCGATTCAGGTTGATTCAGGCTGGTTCAGGTCGGTTCAGGCTTGTTCAAGTTTGATTCAGGTCGGTTCAGGTATGACAAGCACACGTAAATGTCCCCTCGCAGCAATGCCCGCAAGTGCCACGCGATATAGCATCGCGTACATCGCGTTGAGCGGCGAGCGGGGGCTTGCGTGCCACATGCCAGGCTGCGCAGGCTGCATTGAGCGGAAACGTTCGGCCTCGGCCAATCACGCAGGCGTGGAGCTTGCCCCGAGGATGATGGTTCGCATGGCATTTCCTGTCAGTCGCGCGGCGTGGCTCATCGCTGCCTGCGCCCAACGCCGACGGCGTGCAACGGCGGCCTCGGGCCGCGCAATTGCCGACGGCGTGGCCCTTTGCGCAGGGGCGAGAGGCGGCGCCGCCATGCGCGGCATAGCCGCGCGCGGCCAAGTCCTGCGGGGGTCGCGCAATTCTGGCAGGCGGCTGGGTTGGCCTTGTGGCAAGGCCCCTGGCTGGGGCGCCTGTAGAAGATCCTCAATGCCCGAACAGCTGCCTTACTGGCGTCCCCGATGCCGATGACCCTCAACTGGACGGTGCAGCGAACTCCTTGGCCGCGCCGACATGGCCCCGCTCGCCGACTCGCGCCATCGCCACCGCGCGCCAATGTCTTGCGCGGGGCGTCGAGCCAACGCAGCCATTTCCCCACTTCCACGCGCAATGTAGCGGCGGCCGACTGGCAGCGGTCAACGGTTGTAGTGGTGGGTGCGGCTGGTTATGGCGGGGCGGGGCGGGGCGGGGGGGGTGGGGGGCATCGGCCAGTCGGCGTTGCGATGTTGGGCACAGCAGCCACCCAACTTGCCGACGCTTGCATGAATGATGGGCCACGCTGAACCTTGCGCGCATGCATGCGTTACGCACAAGTTTGCGCGAGAAGTCACGCGTTGGCTAACGCGCGCCCCCCAGCGAGCGACGGGCGAATTGCCTAACGACCTGGGGCTGCACTTGCGCGCAGGTGCATTCGTTTGTATACACGCTAGGCCGATGTTAAGTCGAACAACCCAATGGTTGCAACTTGAAGCCAACTGTAAGTTTTCATTCGCGGAGTGGAAAAGCGATTAAATCAACGCGAAGTAGATCAAATATGATAAGAACTGTAATGTCCGATGGCGCGCGCGCGCGCGTCTGAGTTCTGCATTGCCCACTGAAGAAAAGTCGACGCTTTCCGTCGGTCTCCTTAAAGAGCCACAGAATGTTTCAATTTAGTTTTTGGTGCTTCATATCGGCTTTTTCATTGTGGACAATACAGAACTGCGATGCGCGCGCGCCGCGCTTCGCGGCGTACACGTTTGTGCCCCTCCGGAACCTATGTTAAGTTGAAAACCCAATG